CATTCGATATTGATATACTGGCATCTGATATGGGACAGGTTTCTATCATGGAGGGAGGCTTACTAAAATCAATTCTTTGTTTTATCTTTCAAATAAAAAATCTTACACAAGCCGATCGTTGTGTTGAATTTGAATCTTGTCTTTTTCTTCGTCGTGACATTTTTTTAAATAGATTTGGTAAACCATTTGATTTACATGTTGTTGATTGACGATCATTATTGTTGTTTTCGTTCTGGATCGTACTTGTTGATGATGGACGTTCAGATGAACCAACAGGCATATCACATAAATATAAATTCGACCAAATACGTAAATTATGAATGGAACATGATGGATAAAGAACCTTAAAAAATAAAATATAAGATAAAAATATTTTTGTCTTTTTTTACTTCTTTTATTGTTTCATTAAATGAAGGATTAATAAATTGGGTTGATTGTATATTTAATAAACTCCATACACCTAATGTTTTTTTTTCTAAATTAGCTGTTGTTCGTTCAAAATCTGTATTACATAAAAATGTTCCATATAAACTAGAATATGTATGTTGAGCTAATTCACGCTAAAAAAAAGCATTTTTCGATTAAAAAGAAAATGTTTTCTAATCTTACAAGAAATATTTCATTGAATTCAAATGAAGTTTGATTTTGCATCAATACCATGACCACAACGATCACCAAATTTATGTCCAAATTGAATCCATTCACGTTCCACTAAGATTTGAAAGCTATTTATTGTTCGATAATGTGAATCAAGCATTATTTCAGCTAATGTGATTATTTGTGGTGTATGATCTCCACCATTTGAACAATGTACAAGTACTGGTCGATTATGTTTATCAACATTAGCAACAACATAAGATGCTGCCTTAATTAATGCTGATAAATGTTGTAACCATTGTGTTGATGCTAATTGTGGATACCAACCAGAAAACAAAGGAGTTTTTTGATTTTTGAAATACTATTTTTTTTTCTACATTAAACTTACTTTTTATATTGTGCTGCATCAATAGCACGTAACATTCGTGCGCTCCGACTTGTAGCATGAATGTGAGGTAAATTCATAAATTCTACATCAGAATCTGCATAATATTTAGCATAATCTTCAATAGCAGCATCACGAGTTCCCAGATGAAGAATCAATAAACGATTTAAATTTGTTTCACCTTAAAATATAAAATTTTTTTAGAAAATGTGAATTATTTTTTGATTAAAGATTATTTACCACGAATAGAATTTGCTGTTAATGTATCCTTACATGCATTAATAATAGCTTGAATCATGCTTTCATCTTCTTTTGAACACCGAAGTAGCCAACTAACTTCGGGTTGACTTCCTCGAGTAATAACTGCACCATTAGCATGTCTAAATTAAATAAGATTTTCGATAAAAATATGAACTATAATTTTACAGAAAGAAAATTTGGACTCTGATCCTGAACTGTCTACCCTTCTTATATTAAACAATATAACAAAACTTGA